ATTCTGGACCACAAGCACACACTATTGTTGTTTATCTTCATTGTATTTCTAAAATACCTAATTATTAACAATTTGACAACGTTGTATTCTGTAAACTATTCAGCATGCATTAAAAATTATTTTGGTGAGCTTTTTAATACAATTATTCAAAAATGTAATAGAATAATTTTAATACACGTTGAAATCTTTTTAAATACAAATTGCCAATTTTGTAATGCGAGACAAACATTTTTTAAATGCACATTTTAATTTTTTTAATACATGCTAAACATTTTTCAAATGCACTAACACCTTAAGTTTATGGCAGTGGTATTTTTTCTTACATTTTTTTCTTGAACGGAAAAAAATAGTGTGAAAAATAAAAATAAAGAACTTGAAAAAATGAAATAAAGTTTGTGCGGGTCCATAGAAGTGCCATATATAAATAAGAATCGCTTGAAGAGGTAGATAGCAACCAAAGAGGATTTTTAGAGCATGGTGGCCACTGAGCACATTTTTTAAAGGCTAAAATCTGTCACTTAAAAGTTTCAAAAAGAGTTGATTGTTTTCACACAAAAATGTATGCATGTGCTCTAAGTGACTTTCAAATTTCATTTGAAATTATGTTATATTATATCCTGTAAAAAAAGACAACATCAAGCCAATTTTTGCATGTATTTGTCTTTTTTATCTCTCACATACAAGCACATATATTAAAGAAAATTCACAAGGATATATTACACTTCTATGTGTGCATGTACAAAAACTTCAGAATTTTTTTAGCTGTAAAAATTCCGTTTCTTTGAACTTAAAAAAAAAAACAGGACACAGCCCGTGCTCCAAAGTTACTTTATGCATAGCGATGCAATATATAGAGTTTGACCTTGATATTTACTGAGCTATGTATGGCAGTATGGCACGGTGGACAACCTTTGCGTACAATGTAATGTGTGACAACGAGGGTTCGATCCTCATATCACATTTTTCTTTTCTTTTTCTAATTTCTAATTCATGAGATTTGCCTGCATGACTAAATAAAATATGAGGGGGTCTTGTAAAAAAATCCTCACGCTCGGGCCAACCAGCGCCTTCCAACTCTCAGCCACTGCCACGCTGGCACGCCACGCGGGCTGCACGTACGTCCGGATACGAATGGAGGCACCGTATTTGCATGTGGGACAAGTTCGAACACCAGTTTTATGTATTTTGCAACTTTAGGCACTAAATTGACCGTGCAAGACAAGTCGAGGCATCTCCAACGTATTTAACTCTAACTTTTTGTATGAGTATGAATCCTTCTAACTTTGTGCTATTTTGCTTCCATGGGATATGATTCGCCCCGCACATATCCAGCTGCAAATGAGCACTTGGGCACCTCTACAAGTAGCAACACTCAGCGATGAAATGACAGAGTCGCAGTGACGTCAGGCTACGAACTACATAATGCACCCTGCTACATGCTTCTGAAAGGTGTTCTGCACATCTCATCAACCCTGAGCTGGTTCTGAACCTTTGTTAGATACCTCAGAGTCTGATGGAACTAGCATATTTTTTCCTGATGCCCTCCATGCCCAGAACCCATTGTCATTTGCTTGACAACAAGCCCATAAGTGTCCGTCACAAACATGAACTTAACCACTCCTGCTTTTTAACTCATCATCTCTCATTTTTGTAGCATTCTTCGATCGACAATGCCTATATGTTGAATTAAGATAGTGGTGTAAAGCGTGGACTTCAGACCGGATAAGAAGAATATGCAACTTCTTTTTTCGAAAAGGGAAAAGAATATGCGACTTAGGCAGGCGGGAGCGAAAGAGATGTATATATCAGCTAGGCTGATGGAGTTAGTATGGGTTGCGGAGGTGGGTAGAGTCGATGAGCTTCTCAACACCCTCATGTTCCAAGACTGAGACCATGTGTAAGAAAATGCTACTGTAATTGATAACATGAGCAGTAGACACATGCAACAAACATGCAGAGGCATGTTGCATAGCATGACCTGGTACCTATGCACAAGAAGGAAAAGCGCGTAAATAAACCAAACCATGTTCAAGCCATATCCATAAGCTCCAAGGTAAAGAGGTCCGTATTTCAACTCTGAATTCTCACAGATGTCCAAGAAACAACCTTGAACTTCAAAACCATCTACTTTACAATCCTTGTGAATTTTAGAGAAAAATATTGAGTTACTTCATAGCAGGATGCAATGGTAAAACCAATTCTTCTCCATATACAACTACACATATGGCCTAAGGATCTGGGCAACAATAATTAGAGAGATTATAGTATCAGAAGTGAATCATAAACATGCAAATTGCCGAGTTTTTTTTTGAGTAATAGCTGGGACTTCATTCACACGATAAGAAGTCATTACAAAGCACCCTCTCCAACATCTCAGGAGTGGAAGCTTTCCTCGACTTCAAATTTACATTAACACACTCAGCTTTGGAAAGCATCTACAATCCTGCAGCAATACAAATACAACATTGAAACGGGTGCCAGATTGTAATGTTCTCCACACTGTCCGGTCCAGCAACCTTGGCCAGGTTCCGCTCAAGTGCTAGGTTTACAGCTTCAAGCACCGCAAGAAGTTCCATCAGGATCAGATCATAGCATGTTAAAATTAGCCAATAAAAAATGTTACTACCCCAATGCCTGCACAAAGTAGTTTGTTGTACAATGCTCTCTACATTGCGCCCCATCGTCGTCTCCGATTCAAGCCCTCCCTGCCACACTACCAGCAATGATATGCAGTGCAACCATATTACGATTGGGAAAGGTGTGACAGCTCCCGGGTGCAGGGACACCCTCATGAACAGTAACTTCAAAACAATACAAAAGAAAAATCGAAAAAATCTGAAATTTTGGGGGATCAAATATGATCAAAAATTTGATGTTCTTGCAAATTTTCAGCCAGAAATAACACTCGAGGAGCCCTCACCGACAAAAACAAAATTACTGCTCAAAAGTACACATAACTTTGAACACTGATTTTGTTTGTTTTTTTTGGCGAGGGCTCCACACATGTTTTTTGATGCTAAAACTTTGCATGGACGTTAAATGTTTGACCAAACTTCATCCCTCAAAGTTTCAGATTTTTTCGACTTTTTTTATATCATTTTGAATTTACTGTTCATGAGGGTGCCCCTGCACCCGGGAGCTGAAAGTCCAGTCTCATTACGATTTTGAATTCTTTCTTTTTGAATTTTCCAAATGGTAGCAACATTTTTCAGTGGCTGGCGGTAACTCCAGTAACCTGTAGGTTACTGAAAATTTGGGCTGGTAAAACAAAAACCAGGCCATGACTCAACCCCCACATATTCAGCTGGAAATGAGCACTTGAGCACCTCTAGAATTAGCAATGCTGACCGGTGGATAGGACGTAGTTTCAGTGAAGTCAGGCTACGAACTACATAATGCACCCTGCTACATGAGTTAGTACGGGTGGAAGAGGTGGGTAGAGTCGATGAGCTCCTTAATACCCCCATGTTCCAATTCTGAGAACATGTGCACATAAATATTTATTGATAACATGAGTGTATATAACAGGCAGAGGCATGTTGTGTAGCATGACCTGGTAAAAGTGTGTCAAAAAGCAAAACCAATCAACTCATTCTCAAACCATATTCATAAGCACCAAGATAAGTTATCTAAATGTAATTCTTAAAGAAAAAAAATCACGCAATGTTGCATTTGGAAGGTACTCCCCATAAGGCCATAAAGAAAGCAATTATGGGCTCAGAGTGAGTTATATATATCCACGATAATGCGCAAGGAAAAACCCGTGCCATGAAACGAGATCAACAGGTCCTAGGGGGGACTGGTGGAACCAAGCTTCGATTTTCTAAAAAAATATTTAAAAAATTGCCGAGGCCAAAGCGAGTGAACTGGAGAAAGAAATCAGACTCATCATGGAGATTGCCCATGAGTCGAGATGCCTCTTTGGTACAGATTATGTGAATTTTCTATTTCAACATATCTGAAACCTTGTCACCGATTAGCAGAAGTATCTAATTTGTGCCCCCATGTTAATTTGAAGACCTATCTACTTGTACTCTTTGATGAGTATATAATTTATGCAGTTACGCTCTATCCTCTATGTTATATTATTATAACTAAGAGATCTATCTATTTTGCTTCTGTGTCCATGAATTTTGAAGGATTTCAATCCATTTGGATAATATTAATTTGTTACAATAACTTGTGAATTTTGTAGGAAAATTGAAATTTGCATAATAGGATGCAATGGTAAAACCAAGTCTTCACCATAGGCAAGTGCACATATGGCCTAAGGATCTGGGCAATGACAATTAGAGAGTTTATAGTATCAAAAGTGAATCGTAAACATGCAAATGAACGTTTTTATTTTGAGTAATAGCTTGGACTTCATTCGCATGATGAGAAGTCAGTACGAAGCACCCTCTCTAACATCTCATGATGACTTTAAATTTACATTAACACACTCAGCTTTGGGAAGCATTTACAGTCCTGAAGCACCATACAACATTAAAAGTTTACATGATCTTTAAGAAAAGGCTATTCTCGTACATTCACGATCAACTAATTCTAATCCCTATTCTCACAATGCGTCAAACAAGAGATCAGAACAACCTAATCTCTTTGATTGAAGGGGTAATTTCTAACCCCCATCTTTAATCTGCATCGAAATCAGTAGACTTATCTAAGGGGGGTGCTCCAAAGCAAAACTCGTATGTACTTGGTATATAAAACCTTCCTATTTTCCTAGCTGTGGAACTGTATCCTGCAATATTTTCATGTGGAGAGCATATATGCGCTCATACCAACATATGTTAGTCTTATTTACAGCATCAATCACCATTACAAAAAGAAAACTATTCCTGCCATAGAAATTCAATGGCAAAAAAATTACTACCAAATGTAGGCCTTAATAAGCAAAATAAATGTCGGTTTAAATCGGATCATCTAGTTTATCTGATGGTGACCTTAGAAACTCTCACTTGGGATCAAAACTGCAAGCTAGCTCCAAATAGCTAGACCTTTCATGAATCTGAATGTGTTCTCTGATACCTGCCAGTCTTGTGGAGGTGCAGCTTCAGAGAATGCATCTTGCGAGCCACGGCTCCCCATATCATCTGAACAGCATCATCGGGCTTCGAAGGGTACTGGTACTCAAAGTGATGAGCCACCTCCTTCAGCCTTCTCCACATGGTAGTCCACTGGTCCCTGGTCACGCCTCGGAGAATGCGCAGCAGGGAGCCCTGCCTCACAGCATCCGACGCACGGACGAACACGCAGAACTCCGAGTAGTCGAGGACGTCCTCGAAAGGGAGCTCGATCTCGTCGCTGATTATGACGGGGACGCAGTGGCTGACGATGGCGTCGAAGAGGCGGTTCGAGGAGGGCGTGTCGCCGGCGATGTTCAGGCAAAACTTGGACGATGCCATGCCTTTGGTGGCGCGCCTGATCCCGTTCTGCCGGACGCTCCCGTAGGTGAAGTGCACGTCTTTCTCGTCCTTGAGAAGCTGGTACAGCTTCTGACGAACCTTTCCACCCTGAAACCATGTACCAAAGAAGTTCCCAATTGTTAAACCTTGACAGGGCACAGAGAAGAGAACGTTGTGCCACTTACATCTTTCCTGTGAATGGCTCCTTGGAAGTAAGCCAGGACTGGCCGCTGTTCGAACGCCGGCGATTCGTCGTCCCCGAGAGACCGGACCACGTGCATGTAAGGAGCAATGACGTCCTTCTTCAGGTTTGCGACGTCCGGCGGGTACCTCCCGAAGTCGGAGAGCACGTACATGGCGGCGCTGAGCTTCCTCCTGGCCTGCATCATGCTGTTGGGATGGTGAGGGACGACGAGGTGGTCCTTGCCGCCCCACCTCCTCCACTCCTCCTGCCTCATCAGGTACCTCACCAGCTCGGCCTGCAGGATCCTGTTCCTGCTCACCATATCCCTCCCCCGGAGCTTCGAGTGCCGGTTGTAGCTCAACGACGCGAAGAAGGGCACGAAGAAGACGTCCGCGAGGCTGGCGTTTGTCACCCTGACGGCGACGCAAGGCCTGCTCGTGCCGCCGCCGCCGCCGTCCGGACTGTGGGGCAGGGTGGAGGACAGTATGTCAAGCGTGAGCCAGTACGCGACGCTGTGCTGTAGGTTCAGCCCGCCGGGGTAGTGTGGCACGGCGCCCGGGTCACGGACGTCTGGCCACGCCGCCTCCCCCTCCTTCCCGTCCCACCCCAGCATGCCGAAGTGGAACTCCGGCGGCAGGTCGTACAAGTACACCCTGAGCTGCGCGCTCTCCGCGTCGCATGATCCCTCGCTCCCTTCTTCTTCGCCTCCTCCTTCTGCCAACGGCGTCTCTCGAACAACCGGACCGCCCATCCTGACGGCGCCCGCCATCAAGTCACTACTGGATGGCACAGCCACCGGGATCGACGCAGGATGGTCGCCGCCAGTACTGTGTCTGTCTCTGTCATCATCACCGCCGGCGAGCAATGGCGTCTTGTCGGCATCGGCTATCAGGATGGCGTTGTTGATCCGGGAGTTGACGAGAGCCCAGCAGGAGAAAGCCAGGAGGGAGAGGGCCAGGAAGGTCACGAAGCGGACCACCCTCCTGTGCTCCGGCGGCGGCGATGGCTGCATCTTTCTCTCCACTACCATCCAAGGAACAGCACGCAGGGTCGGAGAAGAGATTTGCCGCCAGAATCCGGTTAAATTCGCCGCCGGCGAACTGCAACCTCAAGAACCATCATACAGATGAGCCAGAGACTCGATCTCGTCGCGGGTCCAGAGAATCAATCGATCTTCTTATTAAAAGGGAACAGACATGTGCTGCCATGAATGATTGAACCAGAGAGAACAACCGGAGGGGGCTGGTCGTTTGGATTGCGCAAAGGAACAACAGATTACCTCGCGTGATTTTGCCCTGGGGCGATTGGATCGCGCAAAGGAACACAAATCAGCTTATCTGTATTGTCTCGGGATCGTTTATTCCAGCCAATTGCCATCTGTCGTTCCTGCATGCATGCTGATCTGTTTCTTTTGGTTGGAGATTTCAGCTGGACGCGGCAGAAAAACCGGCCAACTGTTTGTTGATGGTCAAAGATAGGAGAAGCCAACGTGTGCACCGCGCTAAGAGCATCTCCATCAGTTCCCCGAAAAATCTCTTCCAGTAGGTGGTTATTGGTGTTCTTCTAACAAATTCTTTGGCGTTCAGGTGGATTGCTTTTGTAGCTTCTCAATAATTACATCCTGAGGATGGGGCATGCACCCGTTGCCTGGACAGCTGAGGTTGCTGCCAGCCCACCCGAATTCAAGTCCTGACTCGAATGCACAGTGCTTGCGGAGTTTCTTCTATGAGGTCTCATTTTTTTTAATAAATACATCCTCAATACCCACTTGATGAGATATTGCTCTCTCCCGACCATGCCATTTTTTTTCTGACAATGGTGCAATGGTTGCCGACAGCGATGGTGGCGATTTTCGATTGCAACAACGCGGTGGGCAGCGGTGGCAATCACGGAGATGGCGGTGGCTCAGTGATGTGGCATGGCCCCCTTGTACAGGGGTTATCGGGAAGGAGAGAGGCCCTCTATTAAAGGGGGAGTTGGGGTGATTTTTCGGGGATCACCAAAAATATTAGGGAACGGGCAGCTACCAAAGCACCTTTTTTTGGCCCAACTTCTCCAATACCAGAAAATTATTGGGGAAAGGGGAGCTGCCGGTGATGCTCTAAGACGGACTTGGATTTCACATGTCTTCTTGAAAAACGACGAAACAATAGTTCAATGGAGTACTGCTTCATCCTACCTAGATGAGGACTAGCTGACTATTTCGCTCATATTAATTCCCAAAAATTACCAAAAAAGGAGGCAATCATTGAAAACTTGCATGAGAGATGCAGCATCCTTTTTTAAGAAGTGCAATATACTAAAACGGTGACAATCTTTGTCGACACACATCACTAACTCAAGAACGCCCATACTAACTTTTTTGCTACCATACTTGGACCGGGTCATGGCTGCACTAGCTATTGACGTTTTTTTTGTTCTAGAGGGGGTTAAACTTCGGGGAGTCCCATTATCCTCTCAGTCTCCCTGATGATGTCGTGGTGGCAGACCTATTATATCAAGTGGGGCTAATAAAGATTTGAATGAGATGTTCGTTGTGAAATCCTCATAATATGTTTACTGCTTTTAAGTGTGTCTATTTTTATTTGTGCATGTATTTCGGTTTCCCCAGAGTTTTGGTGGCTGATGGATGGGTCTTCAACTCTTGTCAATTATTATTGCCTCTGTAGTTGGAGGCTTGGAGCTTGCTCCCTTCGTTTTTCCTCAAAGAAATATTTCTAAACATTGGGATTCCAAAACCCTGGCCTTACTTTCGAAAGCAACCACCATTCACATTACATGAAAAATTCTTAAAAAATTCCTATAAATTTCTCTCCACATATGAAACCCCGTTCCACGAAAATGTCCCATGCTCTAGTTCAATTATTGTAAGTGGACATTAATTTCATGTATAATGGTCATCAATTCTAAACCACACTTTGATGCCCTCCATAAATCTTGGAAAATATTATATAGCCTCCTAGGGTTGTATATGCAAAATGATTGAGGCTCGTAGTACACCTTTCTACCAAATCATCCAGACCCTAGTTTTGAGTCTTGATGGCACTTGTTTTTTCAGAAGGAAGATGCAAGTTGCGCCTGACTTTAAATCAATAAAGCCCACTTAACATGCAGCATTCAGATTAGTTTAAACACATCACCATGAAACTTAAAAGTTGTAGATAAAGGATATGGCAAAAGGGCATATCCAAAACAAGGTCATGATCGAGTCCGTCTCTGAGTTGGAAGATTCGTTTTGATGGCACTTGTGAAGTAACCCCTAGATCCGCTTGGTCATTTGACCTGAAACTTGGCCACCTTTGTTGATCTCTGATGGCATGATTTGCCAGCGAAGTCTTGGGTCCATTTGACCAACAAAAGAAATTGAACCAGCCATGGAACACTTTGCTCCTATGTTAGTTTCTTGTGCTTTTGCTTTGGTGTAGGATCAACATAATTAACCAGTGGGAGGTGAACGGGAGATTTTAAAAAATCGGTTCAAGTGTACCACGGGCCTTTATTAGGCCAGAAGACAGAGCGGGCCAGAATTGGGTGCATAAACTCCATGAGTTGCTAATGGACCGGAAGTCCAAAGGGTCATAATGACGCCGAATGTCCCATGGGCCGGTGACGAGCCAAATTGGCACTTATCCTTATGGGTTGGGCGATATCGGGTTGTAAATGGGCTATAGGTACGCCCATTAGGTACGCCCGCTAACTTTTGCCTAAATCTTGTGGGCCTTTGGCTGACACAATCTTTTTAACTAAATGAGCCTCTATTGGGTCTGTGCCACGTGTCAAAATTATATAGGAGCATATTATTTGTTGAATGGGTGACATCTTTAATAGGTAGAGCTGATTTGTGGCTTCGTTGGCGAATGAGAAGCCGACACATGAAATTGTTTCACTGGTTGAAGCTGTTAACGGTATCAAATCCAAAACCCGCACCCGATAGATTAACGGCGACCTGTTACAGTGGCTGCCACATGTTGGTTACTCTTGACGAAAAACTCTTCTATGACGCACCATTTATCATCATGGCAATGGACACTTCTGTGATGAAAAATGATTACTGTCATAAACTCATCAAATATGTACATGGGTGACAGAAAACGTGATCTATTATGACAAACATGTATCATCAATGACGTGTCTCTTTTTTGTAGTGCAAGACGATGCCTTCAAGAATGGCGCGACACTAGAGTGCCGCCACCGCCTGACCCCGAAGATCAACTTTTCACCCCAAGCAGCACAAAAGGAGGTGGGAGCAACCGCAACAGAGCCTTCCAGATGGTGACGACGCCCGCATATGCCAGCGTCGTCGGCCCAGTAGACCAGGGTACCCCGAGAAGCAAGGGCACCCACGACACCATCGCCTAGCTATACGCAGACCACCAACACCATGTCACCGTGTGGCCATGGCTGCCACGCACCCGAGACACGCGCTCCACCCACGAGCACCGCACCTCCCGCACCAAGGCTGCGGACCAACATCCAGAAAAACCCCGTGAACATCCAAACGCCCCAGCTTTGGACTGACCGACAGCCCCCCGCCGACGGAGCCGCCAATAGTCACTCTGCCCCGAACGTCGCCAGACCTTCTCCAGTTCACACTCGGCTAAGGAAAGGGTAAGGAGGAGGAGCGAATGCATCCACGATCGGCACACCCCTGCGCCGGCGACAGGTAACCCGACCACTTGGAAGCCTCCCATCCCTCTTACCAACCTCCCCACCAAGCACACCCTATGTCGCCTCACAACGCTAGCCAGCACAAATCTCTACGAGGCCACCAACAACCGCTGAACCGCCCGCCCACTTATGAGGGAAACCAAATCGACCGCAACAATAGCCAAGAGATCTCACTGGAGATGCCTCCTCGACTAGTTGTCGTCTAGGCGTCGGACCAGGAAGGTCCCGACATGGTCTTGGCCAGCAAACCCCCTAGCCTCACCGCCACAGCGTGCCACTCACACTAGACATGCGTCGAGGCACGAGCGGCCGCCCGCAGCCAAAGTCGCCCACGACCCGCACCGCGAAATGGGGCAGATCTGGGCCAACCACTGCTGCAGCCGCCTAGCCATGTGTGTACCGCTACCAAAGTCGCCACTCCACTGTCATGACCCGGATGCCTCTGGGAGGCGCGGGCTAGCACCACGTCCACGGCCCGGATGCCTCAGCCCGCGTAGAGATGTTCGGGCGAGGAGACGAAGGTTCACTGCCGCCAACGACCTGACTTTACCTGGGCGTGCCCCTGGCGACGGCGAGGGAGAGGGGGAGGTGCGGCGACCGGCAACGGGAACTAGGTTTCATTAGCATATATCCCGAAAGTTCCAGATAGTGTGGCATCGGACATAACAGGTAGATCTGAATGGGTCACATACTCACACATAAGCCATCCGATTCTTCACGGAAGGGGCACGAGCTGGTATTGATTTACACACTCTTTTCTTCTCCATTGTTAACACCCAAAGGCATGAGAAGCTTCTCCTCCTCTCTTTTTTGTGGGGAGAAGCTTCTCCGCTTGTGTCCTAAAGCCGGATTACTTTAAATGAAAAGAAGGATGAGCCCTCCATCCACGATCCGCCAATTTGTATTTGATTTAACAAGGGCAATAACGAATCTCAGGCAATAATAATCCGTAATGCTATCTACTGACGTTTCCTGGGAAGGGGATGGCAAACGAACGAATTTTGCTGAAAGTGTTAGTTGCGGCGCGATATCAAACGATGACAGGTTCTCCTCGTTTTTTTGCCTCAAAATTTCCTTCGCAGAAACTGACATGCGTCTGTCAAGAAAATGCCATGCGTCTCTCAAGCAACCGCCAGCATAAACTTTTGCAAATGCCACCCCTTAGAGCGAACATTCGCCAGCTATTGGAGTCCATAATAATTCACAGCTCCAACAAATTAAAGTTAAAACAGCCCCACGTCTAAATATGTACGGTCGCATCAGACACCATGCATCGCGATCTAATTAAGAGTGCAAAGAGCAAAATCATGCCTACGTGCACATACACGAAGCAGTCATGTTCAGCGTAGTAATTAAAGCATCAGCATGCATGCATTGCCAAACGGCAGCAACGATGGCCGGTGCACCTGTGCGCGCTACGTCCACATGCAGGCGACGCAGCCGCAGAGGGAGGCGAGGACGCGCCGCACCGAGCCGGCCAACGCCGCGGCGGACGGGGTCGACGTCCACGTCGCACTCGCACTCGGGGCACGGCCGGAGCAGGATGCGGCACCGGCGGCGCCAGGCCCTGCTGAGGCAGCCCCTTTCGCGCGGCGTGACGACGATGGCGGACTGGAGGTAGGCGGACGCGGCGTGCTTGAGCAGCTGGTTGCGGATGGGGATGTTGGAGGTGTCGAAGTCGTGGAGGTCGGAGGAGCTGCCGCCGCCGCCGCCGTTGCCCAGCTCCGAGAGCACGTCCCGGAGGCTCGTGTACTCGGAGCTACCGCTGCTGCCCCAGCTCGACGGCCTCGACCGGGCGGACCGGGGCGGCGGCGACGACGGTGCCTCCGGCGCCTGGGCGTCAGTGTCCATCGTCGTCACCAAGGTCCATGCGATTCGTTAGCCTTCAGAGCACTTAGATCTGATTCTTGGAAGATTCTTTTGAAGAGCAACGCCAATTGTTAACCTCGGAATCTCAATCCCGGCGATTGTTTCAGAACCTCATGCCCTTATAATTTGATTTGATAAATATAAAGGGATAAGGAGGAAAGGAAAACGAGGTTAAAGCACTTGGATTGATTAGCGTGCTTCTATTTTCTGACGGCAATGCCTAAATGTAGGAGGACCTGGCCAAAGCTGGCAAATGAAAGGAAACAGACAATAATAGCAACGCTACTGCATGATCAGCGTGACAGGGAAAACATACTACTGTTTTTTGATACCATAGGAATAATAACTGAAAACCAATGGGCACTCGCATATATGACAAGAATATCAGTGCTGCCTGAGCACTCTCTGAGCTGAATTTGAGTGCCCCGGTAGACAGTAGTGGGCAACGTCGCTACTCGCTGGTGTCTGCTGAGCGTGGGATAAGAGGAGCAATGTCACTACAAATAACGAGAATGGGCAGATGGGTCGACAGACAAATTCCATTTATTTATAATCAATGTAGCAATGGCACATTTTCTGAACAGGGAGTGCGACATGGTGCGGTATACCACAGTGAGAAATCCATGTTCTGTTATTCCGGGTTGTTACGGTGTCTCTGAAATTGCTGGTACCTCATCTCTGCTCGGATGAACGGTCGCCCTTATAAATCCCGACCGCACCTATCGCAGACGGGTGTTTTTGCCTCCGATTCTGGCTTCTTGATCTGCTTCTGCAACTGCGGCAAGTCATGCTCGAGCACATCGCTGAGTGCCTTCGATGCTTCTGTGAGCTCCTCGGGACTGTAACCAGGTTTTGGGTATTAGCAAGCGAACATGATCACATAATACGGCGTCAGTAAATGCAGACTTCTGAATAACAGAGGAACGAAGCATGATAACACATGGGCACATGGGTCGTGCCTGATTGAAATGGGAGGGGCTAATCGGATTATGGTGTCATGCGTGGGCTTTGCAAGAATGCCCCTCTCCTTTAGCTTGATGCAAATATCATATGCAGAAGCAGGGTATAGAGCTTTGCTGCTTAGGTCTACTGCATTAAGCAAACCTCTCCCACGTATTTCCCTAATAATATCAGGAAATTTCTGTTGAACCTTTCGTAACTGGTCTCTGAACTCCTGACCTAACTCCGCGGCTCTGCAATTAAGCAAATGATCAGAACAAGAAAGAATAATAGAGTTACTGGAGTTTCTTGTAAAATATAATTTAGACAGTTACTGGAGTTTCTTGTAAAAAAATAATGTACCTTTCAACAAGACCTTCATCCTTGACCACTTTCAGAGATGCAATTGCCACAGCACTTGCCAACGGGTTTCCACCAAAGGTACTGCAAATGATCAAGTGTAACTGTATAAGGGTAATTTCAGGAACAAGACATACACAAAAAGAACACTGAAAATAACAAAGAGATCATACAGCTGAATCTAGAGTGTAATTTCCTAGTGTGATGGTCAAAACTAGACGACGGCATGTCGAGATTTGTGCTCACTAAAGACAAAACTGAATCAGCTTACATTCAACTTTGCTTTGGAATGAACTAAAACAAACAAAATTAACAGTAGTTCACACCTTCCATGTTCTCCTGGCTTGATACACAGCATGATATCCTTATCCGCGAGAACTGCACTGACCGGAACTACTCCAGCACCAAGTGCCTTGCCTAGAATCTGGAGAATTGAGATACATAGTCAAAACTCAGAATTGTAGTTGCTATCCTAGAGCAAAATGAAAACCTCACCCACCAGGTACTTGTGTAGTAGAAGAGGAGATAAATAGAGTCACCTCAACACCAGGTATATGCGAAGCAAGCGGAGCAGATAAGTAGAGAGTATCAGAGAAGACACTTACCACCATATCAGGTCGTACACCTTCCCAATCGCATGCCAACATTTTGCCAGTTCGAGCTATGCCTGTTTGGATCTCATCATCAATCATCAGAATGTTGTGCCTAGAGCACAAATCTCTGACAGCTTTCAAATAACCATCTGGTGGGATTATTACCTACACAAATTCGCAACAGAATAAAGGATATATTTGGAAAAATGGTAGCATCAGGACACAAACAATCATGATATAACAGAAACCTGGATAGAGGCACCAAAAATGTCACCTATAGAAAAACTAGCCCTGTCTTTTTAGCACTTTGGTCAGCAAAGGAACTAATTACTCACTGTCTATTTTTTGTTCCGTAAATCAACTACTCAAGTTATCTGAATACTGGCAGATAATTTAAAATATCCAGATATACGTGTTTTCCTATCATGTCAGAGAGATATGGCACAGTGATTAAACTGCAGTGCTTGGATCTAATAACTTGCAATTTATAAACCAGGACAGTGTGCAATCAAAGGGTTCCCCTAAACTCGTATGTCTATCCATATCATAAAGTACTTTCTTCTTATTTATTTTCCATTTTGCAGGATTATTATTCTACTGTTGATCATTATTGCTACCACATCTAGTGTATCTTGACATTTAAGCTGGAAAATGTGCTCAAGCATATACGATACTCTTAGATGTACCCAGAAAGTGCATACCATGCAGAGCTAACAAGCTCTTCCAGTCAATCAAATTCTCAAACTGAGTTCGATATGAACACAGTACTACCATGCAACATCAACTAGGGGACAATTAGTTTCTAACTATATAGGAAATAACTAGCAAGAGAGGATATCAAGAAATTCAAGAAAAGGCCAGTAACTTAAAGATTCATACCCCAGCTTCTCCTTGGATTGGTTCAAACAAAAAACCACATATACGATCCCCATGCTCTGAACCAAATAGTATTTGTCAGCATGCTTCTACACACTAATAACAGTAGCATATGGTTGGCACTTGACATTTTGACAGAGCTCAATGGATTGGATACCTTTAAAGATTTTCTCCAACCCATCAATGTCTCCAAAATCAACTTTAAGATGACCAGGAACCAAAGGACCAAAACCACGAGTTGCATCATTGTCACAGCTCATAGAAATGACCCCCAATGTCCGACCATGGAAACATCCACAGCAAGAGACAATCAAAGCCTGCAAAACTCCAAACATTTGACAAAAGTAGGTATTAATGTGCTTCCAGCTTCTCAAGGTATTAACCACTGCATTTGCCAAGACATAAAATATGATAATCTTCATTTAGTTGTATCACAGAGCGATCAAACAGTAATAAGAACAACTAGGAAAACAGACACTGCTTCAACAGCTTTTTTGCACCTGTCATTAAGTTTTTCATTTATTTAATACAATGATATGATATCTTTATGTGTTTTCAGGATATCCAGATAAAATAAGCAAGAGCATATATCTGGGAGCAACACAATACTAAAGCACGGGCATATCTCCGATCACCAAATGTAGGCTTAAGTTTTTTTTTTTTGAGAAATCGGCAGGAGCACTGCCTTTTCATATAGAAGGAAGAGGTGAAAACCAATATGTACAGAGCTGCGCACGTTTTGAAGGGATCATGGCCAACCCTAGCTTAAGTTGGGGGCTATGATGCGCTTATTTTGAAGATGTTGTGAGAAAGGAACTTTTGACACATTTACTCTATGGTAAATGATAGTATTAAAGTTGGATAGGCTCTGTCATGCGAAAGGAACTTTTGACACATTTACTCTATGGTAAATGGTAGTATTGAAGTTGGATAGGCTCTGTTATGCGATGCTTTCCTCTCACATTTCTTCTCATATGTCATCAAACAAATATTTTATAATATATTTGCTTGCTTAATTAGAAAAAAAACCTAGCCAAATATCATCATCTGCGACAGTGTCAACAGAACCATAAGTAAATTATTTTTTATTTGCGAAGAAGCCTTAACAGTTAACAGGCCATCCAGAGAACATAATATGCTAGACAGATGCAAGTCAGAGCTGAATTGAAACATAAGCCTGTTAGCAGGTCAGAAATCCATTGAAGCACCAGCACATACCAATACTGGAAAAACCCTAATAGGATTACACATGTACCATATAGTGAAGTTATACCTCGTTCTTTGGTATATTCTTCTTTTCATAACCCCATTTTCTTGCCAATTTAATAGCCGTTTCCACTCCTTCGGCTCCAGTGTTCATTGGCAACATCATATCATACCCAAACATGCTCGTCAAATACTGCGCAAAGACTGGGAACTTGTCATTGTAGAAAGCTCTGGAACTAAGTGTAAGCCTTTCTGCTTGTTCTATCAAAGCTCTTAGGACTTTTGGATGGCAATGGCCCTACAAGAGAATTGACAAACCAAGATCATGAATTATGAGCATAAATAAGTTGTCTCGAAGAATGTAGACCGACCAATTCCGATCTGTGAGGGTCAAATAGCACTTGGATAAAATGTGTAATTGCAGAGAAAATAACCTGATTGACTGCAGAATAAGCAGAGAGAAAATCAATATATTTGTTGCCTTCAGGGTCCAATATATGCGAACCTTCCCCTTTGGAAAACACCATGGGAATCGGATGGTAGCTGCACGCAGTGAAATGCTGAGCTCAGCAAGAATTTCAGACTAGAAATTTGGATCATCGCATCATCAAAACAGAAAGCGTGACTTTGCAGATAAATACACACCATGATTTTGAGTCGGAATCTCATTTTTTTTGTCTGCCAGTGGAACAAAGAAAATACTAAGAAATGTGGGCATCCCAATCAAAGCAAGCGCGGATTTACACTAGTTCGAAACAAAGGCGACGCCGTTGAGTCACTGTCACTCTCACTACTATGATATACAGAAATTGCAGTCTGGGCATAGAATCCGTACTGGTAATAAACAAACATCCCAAAATTGACGTGCGAGAATATGCTGAAAAATGTTTCTGCGGGCCTAATTTGGTGATCGGTTACTCCATTGCGGAACCGCGCCACTATCTGAAGATGAAGTGCCGAAGAAGAATATGAAAGGGGCTAACCGAAGACAGCCCCAACTCACACGAACCCGAACACAGAGCGCGAAAGCCCGCTACGAGCGCGATCGGAGAAATGATCGGCAGAGTTTTTGCCGCTGAGACATTTACGCAAGCAGAAGGCGTGCGAGGAGGGGGGAGAGCAAGCAGTCACCCTACTTGTGCGCGCTGCAGTCCTGTTCCATCCGTATGAGCTCCTCCGATGACAGCGCCGCCGCGGGCGCCGAGGTGGAGCACATCCCCCGCCGCGCGATCGCCAGCGCCCGCGCCACACCCCGCCGCGCCACACCCCGCCGCGCCATCGCCGCCGCCGCCATCTCCGCCCTCTCCCTCCCGGCGCGCGCGCGTTTCACTCGCTTCTAGGGCGTGGAGTGTGGTGGATGCGTCGTCGTACGTGTATACGAGCCGTGCCAGTGCGGGGCCCCGGTCCAGCGGGCTTCCTCCTCTTATTGTTGCGTCGTGGCGCTAGTGCCGGAGCGGAAGTGGAGGACACGCCACCGTGCGTCCGGGGCGAGTTTGGCCGCGGTTGCTTCCTCCTTCCTGCGTTGGGATGCGGAACCAAAGTTGCGCACGGCGTCTCTGGATGGGGGCGGAGTCGACGGAGTTATCCGTCCGCCTCGGCCCGCCGTCGGCTGCCGTTTGGGTTACGGAACAAGGCAGAGTGAGAATGAGACAAGTGGAGTGGCGTGCGCGCGTCGCGATGGCTCCGGCTCGACCCACGGCTAGCCAGAGCCAGTAGTCTCCACTCCACCTGCCCGCCCGCAACACTTGAGTCGGACGGGCCTCATTCCTTCTCTTTCGACAGACGTCTCCGCGCATCGTTTCAATTTCATACTCTAATAGGAGCAAACGAGCTCGCCTACAAAGCCAAAACTCCTTCTTCTAAAAAAAAAAACAAAGCCAAAACTCCTTCTTCTCAAAAAGAAAAAAAACAAAGCCAAAACTCCTTGGCGTGGATGAGCTCGCCTGCTCCCTTTATTGCGAGGCGTCGACCCGTTCTGGATATGGGATGGATATGGTATTCCAGGTGCGCACATGGATTATTTAATGCATATGGTCGATGGGAGACGCCACGGCACTGTACCAACGTCTGCAGTAGGAGCAAACGGCATCGTAACGGAGGGAGGCTGGGAGCCGGTCAAAGACAGGCTGGAGCACGGCCGCACCAACGACATTAACTGCGCCTGCGGCACCCACGGGCATTCCATTTTTAACCCCAGTCTATCCCCAAATTGAGAGAAGAGAAAACCTAGCCTCTTTTTCAATCGATCTCCAAATCGAAACAAAGGAACCCTAGTAGCTGATGAATATGACAAACCCGAACCAAGGCGTGAATCCGGTGGCGGTGCGAATTGTTCCTTGCCCGCACTGCAGCTACTCACATACATAGCTCGCCGCAGGGCACAACACCAACGAGCGTTCTACAAGTGCCGGAATCATAATGTAAGTGTTGGAATTAATGGGCTTTATACTCAGATTGGGCCCAAATTAATTTCAGAATTGGAGAGAAGTTAAGATCTACGTGATTGCATGTATCAATCTGTTAGATCTGTCCTTGTCATCAGTATCACATAAATTCGAAATTATATTAATTGTAATACCTGACATATTTCCAACAGTCCAGAAACTTTATTACTGTGCAATGGCTGGACCAAGCGATGTGATGAAACCTGAGAGGTTTGGGGGTGAGAACTTCAAAAGATGGCAGACCCGTGCGAAGTTCTGGCTTATGAGCATGAACTTGTGGTGGGTGATTTCACCCACTGTTGAGAGGCCACTCACGCAGGATCAACAGCGTGATTTTGAGGTGTCTTCAGACACGGCCATGGGTTGCCTTCTCTCCCTCATGACCGATCAGCTTTGTGACATATATATGAACTTTGCTAGTCATGCCCTTGTTTGGGAAGCGCTCAACAGGAAATAATGGAGAGTCGGATGCTGGGCGTGAACTATATGTTAATGAGTTGTATCACGATTTTAAGATGGCCGATAATAATTCGGTTGTGACACAAGCCCATGAGATCCAGCTCCTGGTGGGGGAACTCGCTGGTTTTGGAGTCGTTCTGCCTGACAAGTTTGTGGTGGGGGGCATTATTGCCAAGTTACCTCCATCTTGGAGGAGCTTTGCCACCACTCTCAAACACAAGAGGGAGGTGATGACCGTCGAAAGTCTCATTGCCACTCTTGATGTTGAGGAAAAGGCCAGAGCGAAAGATGCGGAAAATGTTCCTCCTCAGCCGATTCTGAATGCCAATGTCGTGCAAAGTGGGGCTGGCAGTTTCGGTGGAAAGAATTACAAGAACAAAGGGAAGGCAAAACAAACCACCTGTTTTAAGAAGAAGAAGAAAGAAAAGGGTGGCTTCAACTGCTTCGTGTGTGGTGAGCCTGGGCACATAGCCAGGAAGTGCCACATGCGCAAAGGCAGGAAGGAAGGAGACCAGCCATCTGCGAATGTTGTCATTAGCGAGGCAGGTGGAGGATCTGGGTATGTCCCTAGTGTCCTTATTGCATGTCAATCCACTGATTGGTGGATAGATACTGAAGCTAATGTGCATGTTTGTGCTGACTACAACTTGTTTTCTTCTTATCAGGCTTGCAGCGGTTCCACCATCGTGATGGGGAACAAAACAAGGGCAACCATTCGTGGAACCGGTAGAGTTGACCTGAGGCTTACCTCGGGGAAGACTTTGTCCCTAAAGAACGTCCGGCATGTCTCAGGAATAAACAGGAACCTGCTTTCTGGTTCACTGATGTGCCGTGATGGCTATAAGCTGGTGTTCGAGACGAATAAATTTATTATTTCGAAATTTGGTTTGTTTATTGGAAAAGGCTATAACAATGGGGGCTTGTTTCGCCTTTCTATTCTAGACGACTGTAATGTCGTAAACAATTTATCTTGTTCTTCATATTCTGGAATGAATGTTGGAGATGTTGTTTGGCACTCTCGTTTATGTCATATAAATTTTGATCGCATTGTTCGGTTATGCAAGCTTAATCTAATTCCGAATGTCTCCATAGTCCGTGGATCTAAGTGTCAGGCTTGTGTGCAAGCAAAGCAACCCCGAAAGCCGTTTAAGCCTGTTGGGGAGAAAAGCCTTTCACCTCTAGATTTAATCCATTCAGATTTGTGTGAGATGAATGGAGTTTTGACTAAGGGAGGGAAAAGATATATGATGACATTGCTAGATGATGTGACTAAGTGGTGTCATATTTATCTAGTAAAAACGAAAGATGAGGCGTTGAATTGCTTTAAGATCTACAAAGCTGAGGTAGAAAACCAATTAGAGAAGAAGATCAAACGCTTAAGGTCTGACAGAGGAGGAGAGTATGTCTCACATGAGTTTGCTGAATTTTGTGCGGAGCATGGAATTATCCATGAGGTAACCCCTCCCTACTCGCCCCAATCAAATGGAGTGGCTGAACGCAAAAACCGAACACTTACGGACTTGGTAAATGCCATGTTGGACAATGCCGGTTTAGCTAAGTCATGGTGGGGAGAGGCTGCGTTGGCTGCATGTTATGTCCTCAACAAAGTTCCTTCATCAAAAGGAGATACAACTCGAAGGATGGAAAGGACACAAACCAACTATGCGTTTCTTACGTGCTTGGGGCTGTTTAGCCAAGGTTAATGTACCTGTATGCAAGAAACGAAAATTGGGACCTAAGACTGTTGATTGTATCTTTCTAGGTTACGCACATAATAGCAACGCTTATAGATTCTTGGTAGTCAAGTCCGAGTTTTCTGATGTGCACACTAACACTGTGATAGAATCTCGAGACGCTGCCTTCTTTTAGAACATCTTTCCAATGAAGGAAAATAGAGCATCCACTAGTCAACCAACTATACAGAGAGAACTTGAACCCAAACCTGAACCAGAAAATACTCCTTTTGTAACTTCGTATAATCCAACTGAGGAGGATGATAGCGAAGTAGCTCCTAGAAGGAGCAAGAGACAACGGACTAAAAAGTCCTTTGGAGATGACGTTGCTATGTACCTCGTGGATGATGTTCCCAGAACTCTCTCTAAAGCATATGCATCCCTAGATGCTGATGATTGGAAGGAAGCAGTCCAAAGTGAAATGGATTCCATTCTCACTAACGGAACATGGGAAATCTGTCCACGACCGATGGGTTGTAAACCTATTGGTTGCAAATGGATATTTAAAAGGAAGTTAAGACCTGATGGTACCATTGAAAAGTATAAGGCTAGACTAGTGGCCAAGGGTTTTACCCAAAAGTAAGGTGAGGATTTCTTTGATACATACTCGCCTGTTGCTAGGATGACTACAATTCGGGTGCTGATTGCACTAGCAGGATCTTATAAATTCCTAATCCATCAAATGGATGTGAAGACGGCTTTTCTAAATGGAGAGCTTGATGAGGAAATTTATATGCAGCAACCTGATGGTTTTGTAGCAACCGGGCAAGAGAATATGGTGTGTAGATTGAAGAAATCACTCTATGGCCTCAAGCAGGCGCCGAAGCAGTGGCATGAAAAATTTGACAAAACTCTCACTTTGGCAGGCTTTGTGGTGAATGAAGGAGACAAATGTGTGTACTATAAATATGGTGGGGGTAAGGGTGTAATCTTATGCTTATACGTTGATGACATATTAATTTTTGGGACCGATATGGATGTTATAAATGATGTTAAATCATTTTTGTCTCAAAACTTTGATATGAAAGATTTGGGAGAGGCGGATGTTATTTTAAACATAAAGCTGCAAATGAATGAGAATGGGATTACATTAAGTCAGTCTCATTATGTGGAGAAAATCCTGAGTCGGTTTGGTTTTGAGGACTCTAGAACATCTCCAACTCCCTATGACCCAAGTCTAAAGCTTCGTAAGAACAGAGGACAAGGGGTCGAGCAACTGAAATACTCCCAAATTGTTGGTTCTCTCATGTACCTTGCTGCTGCAACTAGACCTGACATTTCATTTGCGGTTAGCAAATTGAGCCGGTTTAATTCAAATCCGGGAAATGATCACTGGATTGCGCTAGAACGAGTGATGAGGTATTTGAGAGGAACCACAACGTATGGGTTGCACTATACAGGGTACCCTGATGTACCAGAAGGGTATAGTGATGCTAACTGGATCTCAGATGCAGATGAGATCAAAGCCACTAGTGGATATATATTTACTTTTGGTGGTGCTGCAATCTCTTGGAGGTCTTGCAAGCAGACCATCTTGACGAGGTCTACTATGGAGGCTGAACTTGTAGCACTTGACTCAGCCACTGTTGAGGTAGAGTGGCTGCGTGAACTCTTGAGTGATTTGCCAATGGTTGAAAAACGAATTCCGGCAATCCTTC